CAGCCACTCCTCTGAGTGCGTGGGAACGGGCTCTCTAGGGACCTGTGGGTGTGGATAGCAGAACAGCAACCAGAAAAAGAACAGGTTGAAAGGAGAAAAACTATTTCCTGGAAGGGATCAGGTAACAGTCTCCTAAAGACTGATCAGCTCCAGGCAGTTGAACACACAAGCACCAGCAAGCTCGGGACACTGGAGCACACTGCCATTGACACCGGGTTGTAGAACTCGAGCCACATCCCAAGAAGGCGGTGGCTGCTCTTCGTAGACTGTAGGATTGTACACACATCAGATGAAACAAAAGCCTCACTAAGGGACTTTCCAAACACCCACCTCAAAGCCACCAGTGTGCCAACACGAACCCTGGGTTGGCCCCTCTACTGTCATTTAGGCCAAGTAACGATAAGTGAGCCTGTGAGTAAACAAATGGATAGTTATCTACTATTATTAATAGAATCAAGTTGTTGTTAATAGCTTAACTAATAGAAGTTGTTCTAATAAGAGTCAGCTGCAATCTATCTCCCCCAACCTGCTTCCCAATCAGAGGGAATTTACATTTTCCAGTGGAGAATGCAACTCAGATCACAATCAAAGTCATTTTTCATTTCGTGGGAGCAGCGTTTTAGGACGTTCTAGTCGTACTATTCTGTGAACCTGACCAATGTGCCATAATATTAGTAGTACATGGCAACTACTATCCAAGAAAAAAGTGACGGGTGCCACCCATCGCCCCAACTTCCAGAGCAAACTCCACCCCAGTAGCTATCACATGTCCCACTTGCCCTGGAAGACCTCTTCTGGTCATGTCATCCATCTATCCTACCCCACATGTTCACAGGCTGCCCAGTGATGGCTGGTGGGATGAGCCACCCCGTCCACTTACCTGGGAGTGTGTCAGACCAGGAAGTCCCTTCCAATCATGTAAACAGGGGCTCCTAATTTTTGTCAGTCTTCATGTTATGGCAGAGAGCTGCCATTCTGCAAAATGTCCAGGCCTGCATCTTTTCACACTGCTCTGTGACTGGCTTTGACACCATTGTGCCTCACATGCAGCCCTGTGATTAGCTGACAGGACCAGCTGCCCCTTCCTGTCCAGCCCAGAAGGGTGGAAGAGCAGAAAGACACCTCCCATGAGACACATGGGCTACCACTTTGTTTCACAACTGCCATTTTACAGTGAGAAGCCACCTTTTTAGGCAACTTAATTAGCCATGTGTTTGCATGCTACACCCAAGGCCCCAGGGAGCATGTGAAAGCCCAGTTCCCCTGCCTCCCCAAACATTACAGAGGAAGAAGAGAGGGTGGCAGTACAACCCCTGGCTCCCATGGAGCATATGTGGCTGCTGCTCTGACCTAGCACTGCTCCCTGCAACAGGGCCCTCAAGCCACTTGGCACCCCAAAAGGGCAATGCAGGCATGCCTAGGGCCTCTTGCAGAAGCTGGAGCAGTGGAAGATGGTCTTCCAGCCCGCGGGTGATGTGCACTTGTTGAGGAACTGCATTGCTAAGCAAAGGAGCTGCAGGCAGAGATCAGCAGACTACACAGCATCAAGGAAGACAGACAGTGACTGGATCTTCTCTAAGACCCTGTGCCTGTTTGGTTGGGAAATTGAGACTCCTATGATGTCCAAGACTCAGATCTTGTGACTCCAGGCACCAGGAGGAAGGCTCCTGCTCCACGTGAACATTTCAGTGCCCTCATAGCAAACAAGGGTGTGAGAGCTCTGTCAAATGCAACATGAGCCACCTGAACCTGAGCCATGCAGCAGCACCAGGAGAAAGCAGGCAGTAAGAATAGCGGGCAACTCCCTGCTGAGGTGGATGACAGCACCCATCCAACCCACCTAAGCTGTTGTACGAGGTTTGCTGGGTGCATGTGTTCAGGACACTGGAGAGTGGCATGGATTTAGGGCAGTTACAACTTTTTAAAGGAAGTTTTTTTTCTTTGGTATAATCTCAGGAAAAAAGGTGATCATACTATCTGAAAACTCTGTTTATATAAGACAAAAATCCCAGACTTTTTAGAGTTGAACAATCTTCCAACAGCAAAACATTGTGTTAAATGTTTACAAAATCAAAAAATGGAGTGCCAGAACTATGTTTTCAGACAGAAGCTGGAAGCACACCCTGTCAGTAAAAGGGCATCACTGCTAGTTGATCCACAAGTTCAAATGAAAAACACTTGAAAGCTCGTTCATATCAGAAAAGCCAATTTTAACAACGGGACATACATATGACACTTCAAGACAAACGTTAAGTTAAAACGGACTGCACGTCATTTATCAACTTGCTCTTGTTTACCAACTGTTACAGCTGTATCTGCAACCAGGTGGAGTTCCTGCAAAGACTGCAGACTGCAGTCAGAGACTTCATCAAGCACTGGCCACCCTCAGGCTTCCCAGGGATTCCTGAGCAACATGCTGGAACTACAAGCAGCTCATAAGGAAAACCAGTCAATCTACCATTATATCACCTGGAGGTTAGAGGTACCTGACTTAAAAGTACTTCAAACAGGCAGAGAAACATCATTTAAAACAAATGTGGCAAATCATGAGCTTTTATGGATTTTGCAAATGGAGAAGACTTTATGCACATAATTAAACACAAGTTTAGAGTGGCTGTATGTATTTCTGAATGAAATTTATTGAACCAGGACAAATCCCAACAGAAGCAACATAGCAGCATGCTTGTAGGAGAAACTTGTTTCCACCCTTACAACTTTTCCCTTTTATTCTGGAGCAGAACAAAGATTAAGAAATACATAATACAAGTTGCTTACATTTGTTTAAAAATGTCATAGCATTACCATTTTTTGTATTTTACAAGTTTAACAAATGTTAGTGTGCTACATATAAATATCCTGATCCCTCCAGCATTTATTGATTAATTACAGAAATATTTTCTACATAGATCTATCTTTCTAAAAATATAATTTAAATATAACTTTCAATAGAAAAAACAAAACATGTCATCAGAAGATTCCGGTTGCAGGTCATTTTCAACGTACTGGAACTCTTAGTGAAGCTGCTCAAATTATGGCAAATAACTTTGCACATTCAGTTAAAAAACTGAAAAGAAAAGAACACACAGGTTAAGAATAAATGGTGATCACTTCACGTCCACTGCCTCGGACAAGGAGAACTCTGTCCAGACCCTCTGTCAGAACTTCCAAAAACTCCATGTCTGTAGTACATTAAGTCAAGGGATCACAGAAAAAAAAAAACACGCAAAATAGCCGCTAATCACTCAAAAAGCCCAACATAAAATGAAAGAGCAAGTTTAAAATTTCATAAAGGAATTTTCCTGTCCCCTTTCATATATACAGCACAGAACCATCCCATTATGCAATCTACCTGCTTGCTCAGACAGAAATGAGGACTAATTTCCCTGTAGAAATCCCCCAAATATCTTGTTCCTGCCCTACTCACCTACAGAAAAGCAAAGGTAGAGATTCATTTAAAGAAGTAATAAAAGAAAGCAGAGTTCCAAACTGAAGATTATCTGGCATCAATTGAACTAGAACTCCATCACTAGCAAACACTTCTGAAAACCATTATTTTCCCCAAAACAAAGCCGTACTTACTAATATAACCCTACCAATGATTATCCAGACAAGTATACAATGGCACAATCACAAAACCAAATTGCCAGTTTCAAGAAATATGGAGCAATATAGTAGAGGATACAGTTTTCATCCCCTTTCCTGTTTTTAGGAGGTCCAGGCATATTCAGGAGAACTAGCTGGGCATGCTGCGATTTATTAAGCACGACTCCATTGAGCTTCACAGCGGTGTGCATTCTTCTCACGTTTGACTGATTCCTAGTACACAAACATTAAGTATTAGCACAATATTTACATGCAACTGAATGCATAAATTTAACCTATATGTATGTACAATATGCTATTTTCATATATACCAATAACTGTAGATATTCAAAATAAATTTACGAGAAAATGAGATGCCTAGGGATAAGAGATCGCAAGTATGTTCCTCTCTGAAAAGATTTAATGCTGAAATTCAAGCAATTCTAAGTGGTTTGCCAAAATGGACAATTCTCCCATTTGTTAGTCGCATTTTTTTTCCGTAAAGGACAAACTGTTGATTTCAACAGAAATGAATTTTAGTTAGAAATGCTGAGAATCCAGTTTAACAGCATTTGTGTAGTTCAGTAACTTTCATATAAGAAATCCTTGATAGCATAGGAGCTACAGAAATAGAGTGGAAAGGATCTTGTACCCCTTTGGGAACGCTGAAGGATAATCCCAAACCTGGTATAGGAAATGCAAAAACAGCATAGAGTTTACCAAAAAAATGGTTAGTTTCCCAGCACGTCAGAGGAAGGCAGTAAGCACTGCTGAACTGAAGCAGAGCCTTCCCCTTGCGTTATTACTGCCAGCTAAGGGTTTCATTGTTGTGCCCACAAACACCACTTGGTTGTAAATTCGTGTGAGACACAGAAATCGCTAGAACTTCATGCATTTCATGCATTTCTTCTTTAATGCTACCTTGCAGGATTTAGCTGCTCTTCAGAAGGAGGAGAACAAACATGGAAAACTCTACCCTCCCCCTTCCCTGCCCTCAAAGCCCAGTTTGCTTCTGAGGAAGTTATGCCGCCAGCTCTGTTACAACACTGGCCAAAACGGGAAGCGAGTGCCACATGCAGCGCAAAGGAAATAGCCAGACTCTGCCTAAGCCTCTATCACGGAGAGGCCCCTGAGCAAACAAAGGCAGGCGCTTTACAAGCAAAACCAGGCATTTCAGTCCAAAAGACCAGACATGAAATGTTGAGATCTAAAGCAAGAAAGGGAACCTTCAGAAAGGCCCGCCGAGAGCCCAGCTCGGGAACAGAAGTAGCTATGTTGACATAAGACGTTTGTACCACCCTACTTCGCCTATGCAATTTTCTAATACTGTTGTTTTAACTAGCAATCTTGTAGCAAAAGCACAACGGCTCTGCGCTGGTGGGCTCACGTACTGCTCCGTGGCAGACGGAGGACTGGCAGGCTGGAAGCAGCAGTATGTCGGACATCCTCTGAGGTGCCTGAACAGGTCTAGCATCTCTTGCATTTCACTAACACCAATCCAGAGTACAGCCCATGCTCCCCCCACAGCTGTCTCAGGTCAAGAAAACAAGATAAATTAATGAGATCTCTTTTCCCAAAACAGAAATACCTGGGAGAACTAAAGTTGTGAAAGGAAACTATACAACAACAGGAGCAGTCAAGTTCCACCCCAAGAACAAAGAGATAATGTTCCCTTTTTGTATGCTAATAGTATAGCCAGCATCTACCTAAAGTTGTGTCAGTTCTACACTGGGCTGGGTTCAGAGGAATGAGGCAAAACTGGTATTTGATTAAATGTGCAAGTTTCCTTTGTGGGGGGAAAAAAACACAACCAAACAAAATCCCTATTCTCC